CAGCAGCAAGGCCCAGATTTAACAAGACCCAGATATAACACTCTAGCGAAACTTAAAGATGAGCCTAAGGCTTTACCAAATGAGAATGCTGATTGAGATTAGCTTGTCTCATTAAAAAAAAAAAGTAGCTGTAGGCCATTCCAGGAGAAGCTTTCCTCAGCCTTGGACTTTGCTAAATACAAAGTAGGACAAGCCAATATTTTTAAAGACTTTTTTTTTTTTGTCTCCTAAAGGGAATATTTCTGTGAAATACATGTATGTTAAAGGTGTAACTTTATATTTCACCTGTAGCCCATGAAACAAACAGATTTCTCTCCCATAGGTGCCAATTTGCAGTATGGAAGATATTTATTTTCCCTCCTGGAAGACCAGTGAACTCTGCCACTGTGAAAAGGGCCGTGCTAAACCAGATTTGCCAGCTGTGCGATGCAGCCCATGCTCTGCTGTAACTGCAGTGGCAGCCTCTGGGAACAGCGAGCGCCGGGCGTGCTCCAACAGGACCATGCACAGCGAGGCAGGTCTGGGCAGCCACGCTGAAAACAGGATCTACTCTGGGGAATTTACACAGCGTGGGTCTAGTTCTTGTTATAATCGACACACGGGGGTGAAATGCAGTGGTACGTGGCCAGCAGAGAAGTCTCTCCAGAAAGAAACTCTCCCATGGTTAAACGGTGGAAATGCAGGGCCCTGCATAAAGGTGGCTTCAAGGGGCCTTAAAAGGCTTCTATGAAGAAATGGGTGGGGGGACTTGAAGATGAAAGCTATGCCCTCTTCCAGTGATCTTGACTGGTGGACCAGCCCTTGGAAAACAAAAGTTTTGCAACAACCAGTCCCTTCCCACAGGTGGGAAGCCTGCTGAAAGTCAATCCCCACCATCAGCTGACAGGGAAAGTAAGGGAAGATCATGGGAAGTCACTGGATGGCAGAACAAATTCAAGGCCTTTCAGCAGTGAAGGCAAAACTGATTTTTGCCACTACTAAGATCAGGCATTGAGATTGCAGCAGAGGTTTTTGTGACATGGAAACCAGAGGCTGGACAAAGACTGTTGTTGATGCATAGAGTTTATGTAGGTTCAAGAGTAGACTGGAGGTGTTGCTGCATTCATAGAAAAACTGTATTTGGCCTGGGAAGTTACCAACTCTGAAGTGATCAAAGGCTGGGAGAGCACATCGTGCAGAGCGCACTATATGCTTTCACTCTACTCTCATACTCCTCCCCAGGCACCTGCCTTTGGCCACTCTCAAACACAGGGCAGGAGAAACCTTTGGTCTGATCCAGTACAGTCACACTTGTGTCCCTGTGCACTGCAATGGGGGTACAGGAATGTGGAGAGCCCAGGCACCTCAGCTTGTGACTCTTGCTCCTGATGCTGCCAATGGCTCCCTATTTTGTCAGTGCCTCAAGCTAGCCCAGTTGGATGATCACTGTTCAGACTATGGGCAATTAAACACTTCTCTCCGAAATCTCCACATACCATCCTATACAGTTGCAGAGAAATAGCACCATCCAGTCAGTGAATCCAGATTTTGCAGACATCGTGGATGCATTTATGAAGGTTTGTGACAGCCACAAAGCTTTCACAGGTTTAAAGCAAGAGACAGCTGCAGTCATGCAGCTGTTAATGATAAGTTTTCTGCTGGTTTTGGAATAAATTTGTGTAAGAGCTAACCCTAATATGCAGATAAGGCCTTTTCAGGCCAGCCTGAAAAGGACCAGCTTTTCTCAAGTAGGCATTTCTGCTGCCCACGCAAGGCAAAGAAGAGAAAAAAGAAACGTCCGTAGCTATTTAATTAGCAATATAAATATATAGACCTCCCCAAAGAATAACATCCTGAAACTGGGCCTGGTGTTTTCCTATGACACTGAGAATGAGCATCTGGGTTCCTGTCCAGTGCAAAGTGAGCTGAAAGATATCGAAGTAAAATCCTTTAGTGGCCTCCAAGTGCCAAGCATTTTGGGTATGGCAATTAAATGCAAACACTACTTTTGACTCAGGAGCCAGATCTCTGAGCCACAGACCTCACGAACCATAGATCTCTTGGAAGAGTGGGGCAGGGAAAAGCATGCTTCAGTGTTTGTCCTGCCCAAAAGCATTTATTATAGGCCAGTTCTGGGGACATACTGTCAATGCAGATGAAACTTTGGACTGGTCTGATATCACTATTCTTACAACTTTTGACAGGGAAAATTTAGCCAAACTCAAACATGTCCAGAAATTGCAACAGCTCTGTCTTGGGAATGATATGTACTACTTGGATTGTAGACGCCTGATAACCTACATAATGTAGGAGCAAATCCTCCTGATTCATGGATAAGCCTTATTCCTATCAGATTTCAACACACATTAGTGTGCCTAATTCTTGTTATTATGCTCACACCATGTACAAATACAACCTTTTGTCTGACACAAAGGGTAAAGGTCAGGAGATCATGACTATAGATGATTGCCACAGCTATCCTATAATAAAAAACCAAGTCCTATATTATATGACGTGCAAGATCTAAGGAGGCATGGACACTGTGGGTTGTGGGTAACAGTCCCTCTGCACAAGGAGGACACTTTAGCTGTGCTGTGCCACAGCTGAAGAAAAGCAAAGCATACTCATCGTTGACAGGCAGTCTTCCAAAAACCACAGCTTGGTCTAATCAGACTCTGACTCCAACAAAGCACCGATGTCTCTTTGCAGTTTGAATTATGTCTGTGCCATCTTTCAACTCTCTGTCACTGTCTGTCTCTCTTAACAACTTTAAATTGTACAGAAGTAGTGATTAAAACAAATAAACGTGAGTGGAAAATATAATCTTTTCCTAAAATATATTTTGAGCCAAATATATTTCAAATATTTACAAATATTTTAATAAATACATTAATTACATGACAAATACATTCCCATGAAAATATTTTTTTAAAAAAAAAATCACTTTTGAGCAAAGACTAATCCTGGGAAAGTAAATATCTACAGAAATACAGATATGTAGGCCTAACAAATTATCTTTACTTTCTTCTTCGATCATTGTTGCTACATTCAAGTGACTCTATTCATGTGCAACAAAATGCATAGTTTGGGATCCCCCAACTTGCTTTCGAAGTCTCCACTTGTCTCACTGCCTATAAGTGCACTTCGACCTAAACCACTCTGAACTTGATATGGACTACAAAGTGAACTTTGCTGTACATGCCAATGCCTCTCTCTTCCATGACAGAGTTTTTTAATGGGTGCCTTTGGATCTCTTCCTCTGAGGACTTCTCTCATTGTTTAGGTGTTAAAACCTGTCTGCACATTTTTGTCAAGAATAGAAGGGCCGCCACATAAAGGTTCCTACTACACTCTCACACTGGTTTTCTAATACCATTTAATGCTTTTTAACACAGCCTCATTTCTTGTGGTGTGTATCACACCACCTGGCATGGCTCCACTAACAAAATTAAGTGCTCTGAGAGAGCGTACAGGTACGGTGCAGATAAAATCTCACTGGCTCTCTGCTGTGCCACGGGTAACTTGCTCCTGATTCTCAGCGGGAAAATAAAATGCGGTGCTCTATTGCTCAATAAAGGCAACTGGGATGGGGAATGGACGAGGCTGCTCCTGTCAGACCCTGGCACCTAGCACTGCTTCTTCTGGCTCTTGCCAAAGACCTTCCTCCACATCTGGCTTTGGAAGCAAATCTCCAGTGATATAGCTTCATACCTGCAATCAGGCAGTCAAACATCTGCTCAAAATGAAGATACAGGATAAAGACTAATAAAAGATAAAGAGCTAAGATAAATAGCTATGGATTTCTGGAAGTTCTTTGGTCCTTAAGAATGTAAAGGCTTTCACTTCCAGTCTTAGTAAAATGCTGAGAAAGAAATAACCATCCCTGATTTTAAGGCCAGAGGCAGATATTTAGTTATCAACTCCGTAGGTCGTTATCCTGATGATATTGGCTGTCAGGACAACTTAGGAATTCCCTTGGGCTGGTATCATTTATGCCAGAAAACAGCTCAGCTGAGATGAAAAAGACAGAGAGGGAACTGAACCGTCCTTTCATTCTTCTCTGAAGATGTGCTGTTTTCAAGAAAAGGCAATATTCCTGTGCTAAGCTCAACAGTAGAAAAGCAAGAATTGAATAGTAACCTCCATGGAGGCAAATACTCTTGCTGAGTTCACTTGGTCTTATCCTTTCATTCTTCTCTGAAGATGTGCTGTTTTCAAGAAAAGGCAATATTCCTGTGCTAAGCTCAACAGTAGAAAAGCAAGAATTGAATAGTAACCTCCATGGAGGCAAATACTCTTGTTGTTCTTTCTCTCTGAGGCAGGTATTTGAATTGACCTTCAGCTCACTTTCTCCTACCCAACTAACTGCTGAGATATTTCTCTCTTCACTTCCACTTCCACCCACTCCACCAAGTCCCCAGAAACTTTTCAATGGTACTGGTTTTGCCTTGAAAGTCTGGTATTTCAAATACATTTCAGTAAACATTTGACAGAAAAAATTTGTTTGACAACAAGATAAATAATGCTCCTCTTTTTTTTTTAAAAGCAAATAGAAATTCAGAGGTACCTCTATGTATTTCTGCTGTCTGCAAAAAACAGACAGGTACAGAAGATGATACCAAAGCTCCCGTGTTACCCCACAGGCTCTGGCAGCCACTCGACATCAGTGCTGGCATTTTTGTCAAGAAGTAGAGGTGCAGCCTGCACCTCAGTGCATCAAAAACTGCAACTGAGAATTAACAGCTGAATTTGTTCAGCAAAACTGGCTCTGAAGCTTGTTAGCAGCTAAGATACTTTACAGTACACCACAGTAGACCTTTGATATTTCCACTAATAGTAACATTCTATAAACTGAAAGATATTGTTTATACAAAACTATCCTAAGAATAGTCCAAATTCAAATATGCATCAATATTTGAAACCATGGTGACACTTCAAACACAGATACAAGTTACAGTGCTTGCTTATATTCTCTGCTTTCAGAACTGAACTGGGAACCGCAAGGAAAGACTGATACTCACACAGATCTGCCTTTCTCAGATTTCTCATTCTTATGATTTTCACAGAGAGTGAGCAGCAAGGGCATTCTTCACTCTGCAGAAGAATGACAAAGTTGTTACCTGCATGACTATTAAATTGTTTATGCTTCATAAAAACATGCCCTCCCATAAGTGTGTGTTGCAATTTTCAAAGCTGTGCAGCAACATTGGAAGATGAACTACTTGCACTGCTTTGGAATATAAAACCATGTCTATGTAGAGTTAAAAATAGAAGCAGGAAATATTCCTCTGTGTATATATGTCATTGATGGAAGAAATAACAGTAAAATGGATGACATAGTAAAATGGTTTTAAATAAAATTAATGCTTGCATTACAGGACAGGACATTTTAATTTAAAAGAAATCTTTTTCAACAATTAAGCTGGAAAAATAAGCTAGCAAAGAGCAAGTGTGCATGGGAAGCACGTCCATTAAACATCTGTAGACAAAGATAAAATAAGTTTAATTCTCTTGAACAGTTGAAATTTCACACAGAAAGCAGATATTTTCTCAGATAATTTTACTTAGTAAAAATTCCATCTTTCCATTTAAAATCTTTATCAGGAACTTTTCCCATAAGTCATGAAGAGCAAATACATGAAAGGTTGTGAGGTGTTCAGCTATTGCAGTCAGGAAGAGGAGAATGAGGGCATACAAAGAACTGCTAGGAAACAGAAACAATCCATGGTAAAACGTATAATCACAATGCTGTAGATTTCAATGTCTTAGCTATGTTCAAAAGCATCATGATCCCAGAGGAAAATGAAACTGTTCAGTGAGAGAGGCACCACCACCACAAATGCAGCAGAACCTACATGAAAGAAAACAGCTTAAGAAGAGATGTTACTGAAACTTCCCCACCCAAACCAGATGTTGGATATTTGCAAAAAGGATCATTAACTGAAACATCAAGCACGGAAGGAAAGACAAATACCTAGACACAAGCCAAACAAATTATTAATTCTTGCAGATTTTAGTATCTGAAACTTCAGCTATGACTGAAAGTCATTACCTAATCCCTCTCTCACTCTCTGCTAGCAAAATGACCCCATTAAATCCCTTTAGGGGGATTATGTCACTCCTCTTCTTTTTCCAGTTAGGAATTGATCCGGCTGAGAAGTTGGTTACAAACTCCCTATCTCTCTTGAATTATGATAAACCGCCCTTGGTCCGTATTTTATGTCTCACTCCAAAACAGAAGGGCGTGTTTTAATGTCTTCTGTCTTGATTCAGGTTCCGGATGGAATAATTCTCCTGCCTCCCCATCACCAAGAAGCCTCTACTTTTACTCTTTCTCATGAGGCTGTTTCAGTGGTTAAGGGCAAGGGGAAGAACAGAGAGGACAGTCCTATTCCTTGCTTTGTATATGTATTTTCCACACAAAGACCATTGCCAGACTCTGTTCATCACTCTCCCTTCCTTTCAAAAGGATGAACCTGCAGATCCTTAGTGTTTCTTTAATCAGTTTGGTTAGACATTCACGCTTTTTATTTGTTAAGCCATGGGGATCCCACATTTGGGGTCTCCAAGCATCAATGCACACTTATGCTAGCACACATCCATGTTATGGAGAGAAGCTCTATAACAGGGAAGAGGGGCACAGAATGATTAAATAACTTGCTCGTAGTCAAACAGCAGGTTAATTTCAGAGCTGAGAAGAGAGCAGAGTATGTTGATTCCCTGGAGCCCAACAGGCAGTTTTAGGGATTTTCCTCCCGGTTATGTTCCACCAAAAAAGTAATAATAAAAAAAATAGTCTCAGAGATTGTGGACAAAGGCAGATCAAGATTTTCTTGGGTGTCAGTCATGCACAAATATCAAACTAGGACCATCTTTGTGTCCATGATAAATCACTGTTTTTAGTCAGTGACCTCCCTGTGTACACCACTGTACCTGGGCACAGCTACCTGGGCACAGCGTGTGACTGTACTCATAGCCGGCAGATGCTGCGCTGTGGAAGAGCTCAACTTACATAATGCTTGCATCAAACCACAGATTCAACCCAAATCCACAGCAAGCTCCTGTGAGGCACCTCGGACTGCTTCCCAGCCTCCATGTGGATCACCCATTGTGGCTGAACTTCCCTCCACTACCAAAAGTGCCTCCACAGGGCAGCCAGTATCAGCAAAGCTATCGGTCGTCCTGACATAAATAAGTAAATACATACATGAATTCAGACTAACAGCTCCCAAGTCCTCTTCTAGGCACCAGAGTCCCAATCACAAACCCACCTCAGGTCATCTTCAGCTTCTAATGAATTATGGTCTGAATTCTCACACTCTTACCTCACGAGCACTCCAGTATGATCCCATCGTGCTCCCAGCTGCATACAAGTCAGACACAATATCCACTTCACTGTTAGAGGCAACAGCTGGCAGTGATTCACGAAGTACCTCTGCAAACTTTAAGGAGGTATCTGCCGAGGAGCAAGTGGCTTATGCATGCCCCACCTTCCTCATTGCCTGAAAGGCAAAGTACAAAGAGAGAAGGGGAGGGAATTTGCTGAGTTTATTTAATAGCTAAACACCAGAGGGGTGTGTTGGGGGAAGGCTGTACACACCAAGGTGCCAAGAGTTATTAGCAATTCAAGACAAGGGAGTGATAATGCACAGCACTTATGCATGGATACCTATGACCTGGCAGCCTAAGCAATGCACAAATCAGAGAAGATAATAACAGCTACATGTAGGCTGGAGGAAACCAGAGCTCTATAGCACCCCAATCAACAACCAAAAGTATTGTGGATGAAATAACTTTAAAAGACCTTCTATTAAATAAAATTTTATTTATTTTCCTTTTCTTGGAGGTAGAAAGGGTTGAGTTGCTTGCTGGTAGATGTTTCCCCCATTTCATTTGTATATTTGTCACGTGGATATACATTTTCCTGTTTTCAGAACCCTTCCACAAACACAAAACTCCTGAGTAAACCCAGACAAAAAGAAAGTTCTCCTCCAAATTAGGGCATTCATCTTAAATGCAAACATCTAGATGTTTTAAACACAATGCAGTTTGTATTTTATATCAAATTATGATATAAAAATGACACCCAACTTTTCCATTTTCTGGCAGAAAACTGCAGCAGCAGATATGCAGGTGAATAGTCCTTGCACGGGTCCAGCTACTAACATGCCCAGATGTCTGATTATGAAATGACCACCTGAGAACTGCAGGAGGTGATCCTATACACTCACAGTACCCACAACCTGTCTTCCCCTTCTACACACACACATATCAGGAAAACACACAATAAAGACAGCCAATTCTGGCCTTACAATTTTTTGCTGAATGAAAATTACTTTAGTCATCAACCATTTTAGGACTAGAAATCTACCCTCAATACCCTTCTGATTAAAGAGGTGTGAAATGACACAAGACAACATTCCTACTAACATAGTGTCCAGCGAAAAAGACCTTCAATCAGACAAGCAGCCCTGGCTATTTATCCCAAAACTGAGAAAACTGATCTGAAAGTGGCTAAACCTGGACTGTTTTGTTAGCTTCTGCAGCAGCTGAACTGATGTTTCCTGAGCTGTTCCCCTGGGAGAGTCTGACTTGGGGGTGAAGGGCTATGGTAACAGCAAGACTATGGAAGACGATGTCTGCCCACAGGTAAAAAAACAAAACCAAAAAAACCCAACCTCAACAAAACACAGCTCTAACTAAACAACACTGAGGAGTGTCCAGTTGAGGTAGAGAAGGAGGTAGGGAATGACTGGCTCACCCCAACACAGCTGAGAAACAACTACTTCTTGAATAACTCAAGGAAAGAAAAAGGGAGGACCAATCTACAGGCCTCTATCACCTCTCCTACCCAAGAGGTACGCTCTGCAGGAGTTTCCTCCACAGTAAGTGCTGCAGAGCATGGAGCAGGAGGAAGCCCAACCCAGACAGTGCCTCTGTTAGAAGAGGATGTAGTAGTGGTCCCAGCACAGGCACCTGGAACAGGACATCTAGTGTGAACGTATAGCAAATGGAGAACCCATTAACCCAAAACACCGTGCCAGTGTTTGAGAAACTACTATTTCTGGTTTGGTTCAGATTATCTGAGACTTTAGGGTGCAATCACAAATTCTGACAAGGGACATACAGAAGGTGGAGCCAGCTGTAGGAGGGATCCTCAGAGAACTGTTTCCTTGTCTCAGGCATATGTGTTTTCTGACCAATCTGAGGCTGGTAAAACCAGGAAGGAGCAGGTGCTCACCATTTACTATCAAAAAGTCCATAGGCAAATTCAAGCAGAGTATCTATCCTGACAAAAAAATTCCCAACAAGGGCCAACAGCTGAAAAGTGAGTACCTCAGGGAGCCCACAGACTTTGAGAAGCTGATGCAATACCGAGATCTTTGCAATACCAGGAGGACTGACAAATGTGGTGACACCCCCCCTGGCAGGCATTATGGATTCAGTCATGAGGCCATTCTGACAGTTTGGGTACCTTATTTTGAGCTCATCAGTGGCTTCTCAGATAAAACACTGGACAGGATTTTAGAAGATAAGGTTGAAATTGTCTATGTACCTTGCTGGGAAATTTGTGGAGAGAAAAGACTCTTCTATAGCTCTTGCTTACTTCTTTTAGGCCAGGCTACACAATGAGGTGAGGGACTCCTGTAAGTCTCATCCTGGCTGGCCTTTGACAAACTCCCAGCTGCCAGCACCTGCCTTTCTTTCAAAATGCTTCTGTGGGACTATGACCAAAAAGACAGCATAAACCAACTTCTTAACCAGCTCCAGTTCTAGAAAAGAGCACCTGTCTTTCTCCAGTAACTCGCCTCTGAGGAAGAACTCACACTAGGAGCAGAAGCTACATGTCTCTCTGCTGGACCTTTCTTGGCCTTTAGTGTGTTTGAGTAGATTCCCTTCTCCTCAAAACATCTGGACTTTTCCTTTTTTTTTTTTTTTAATCCAAATAGTTAATATTTTTTCATAACATCCATCCAAAGGGGCAGAGGATTTACTTATGCAATGTCTCATTAGCTGAAGAGGAAGAAATGCAAGATATTTTTTCTGCTATATATCCACTTCAGGTATGCAATGATGGTTGATCAACATCCATGCTTTGGTGCACAAGACTTTTGCTTGTTGGGAATGACACACACCTTTTTCCTGCGTTACAAACCATTCTCCTGTACAGCTTGAAGAGGAGTGCTGCTTTTTGTTAATAGATTGCTCATCAGGTCCTTTATCAGATGTGTGCACATATCATTTAGTACATTCCCAGGATGGGCAGTTCTTCTTCCGCTCTTTGGCAACTGCACTGGTGTTGAGAGCTGTTATGGTTTTGTGCTATGTGTGTATAAATCAGCTTTTTCCCCTCAGCCACTGCACTTCAATGTACTTGTCAAATAACTAGTTAGACTGTGGCAATCATATCATCTTAATTTGTACTAGCATACCTAGCAGCTGTATTTTACATTTTATGGTTGTTTAACAACTGTGATGCAGTGAACAGAATATTGGTGTCTTACTCCATTTCTCCAGTGTGATTCTGTGTGTGCAATTACCATACATCCTACAATCACCCTCACATGCTATCTGTTTAAGTAATGTTTCAATTCACTACATTGAACAAGCTCCAGATGATGCTGAAGCAAAATTGCATTTTAGAGAGACAACTGCAGCACACGCATGTGATCACAGTTGATTGTGAGAGGAAATGGCAATGATCCTTCAAAACAAATTCATAAGTTTGATTTAATTGATAAGAATAGATGCCATCAAAGACCTAAAAGGCCACCCATCCATACATCCGTTATCCAACACAAGTTTGAAAAAACAAATACCCTTCATAAGATACATATATTTCACAACAGTTCATGACAAAAAAGCACCTAGGAAACAAAACTCTTAAAAGGTAGAACACCATTTAATTCAAGTTATTAAAACCAAGTAAAGGGATTAAAATTGATACTGCATGGTCACCACCTTCTGTGTCTGAAGAGAGCTTTATGGATTTGCTACCAATGGTCACCAGAAAATGCCAGAATATTTTGTAGGTGAAAAAATAGTAGCAACTAGCCACCAAGACGGTAAGAGACTGCAGAGACAGAGAACTAAAACTATTTCTCTGTCACACAGCTGAATCTTCACCTTTTGAGCATCACAGTGAGATGGTGTTAACAACAGAGACTGCTGTGTTTGATGTCATGACTCTGGATCAAAAAGCAACTACTGCTTAGTAAACTGAACCATGTGGCTTTGAAACAAATATTTCAAGGTGGGGTTTTTTTGAGAAGGTTACTTAGTTAGAAAGAGATGGCACCTGCCAAGAACAGTGAAGTAGCTATCACATATGTGCTGTCATGGTAAGTACTTAGTAAGGGAGAGGGAAATGCTGTTCAAGCAGGGGACTGTGCTTGTGATACTGGCTGGCTCGGGGCTTGTTTCTTCCGTGCCACAGTCATGCGCAAGGCCTGAAGAATCATGTTCTCGTTGTTCATTATGTTGTAATTAGTCAGCTTCAGGAGCTTGTTGAAATCTTCTGCTTTCAGCGAGACCTCCCTCGTTGAGTATGGAGAGCAGAAACTGGAGATATCAACCTTGCCCTGTTCCATTTCGGCAGCACTACGTGACATGCCTGTCAAGGGAAAAAAGGAAGATGTTTGTATAGTCTCAGGGAATTACAGTACTCTGATAGACTATGTCAAGAATAATTTAGAGAGATCACAGATGCAATTGCTATGAAGACAAGTGCAGTGCTATGAGCTCTGAAAAATCTACTTCTGAACAAAGCCTATTGGAATTAAAAAAAATTAATAGTGTCACTAAACATCATTCCATTGCAACCAGCACCTTCTACTGGCCAGCTCATTGCACGCCATTTTATGTGGTCACAGGTGCTCAAGTTTTACCCTGCAGGTTCTTGAGTACAATACATACTAAAGGTAAAAGGAATCAAGAGATATATAGGACAGGAGGAAGCAGAATATTAGTAGCCTTGGAAATCATCATAAAAACAAAGACTGCATCTCAAACACTAGCCCAAAAGGACACAGTGACTGTATTAGTTTATGTGTTATTGCTTTGATTTTCCAGCATATACAACCAACACATTAAACAGCCCAAAAAGAAAGCACAGTGGCCCTCCATAGAACCATTCTATACTGTACAGGTAATTCTCCCCTAGATCTGGCTGTCATAAAAATACATAATCTGAAAAATACACTTTGTTCTACACGCTAAATTTTACTTTTGGAGATCACAAGAAGAAATTAGTTCCCATTCCTCTACTTAAGGAACACGTTTCTTCTTTCACTGAATTGCACCAAGACTCAAACTAAAATTATGTACAAGATTTCACCTGATTTTACAGCTT